TGCAAACAAATGAAGACTATGACGGTTGAGGATTATTATAATACTTTGATGGGTTTCTTTGATGATCTTAATCGTCTCAAGCCCCCTCACGGCTGTGAATGTGGGCATTGCACTTGCAATGTTGCGGCAAAGTACGAAATTAATAGAGACAGAGAAAAATTGCACCAATTTTTAATTGGTATTGATGATGATAAATATGCTGCCGTGAGAACTAACTTGTTATCGCAGCAACCTCCGGCAACATTGGACCATGCATATCAAGCCTTTCTTCAAGAAGAGCGTTCTGTGGTATTGCTAATGGCAAAGCTCAAAAGGAGAAAGATGAAGCTCATGTTTTTGCTCTGCCAAATGATCGGTTGTCTATTTCTTCAGTGCCTCGTATTGATAAGTCGAAGCTATCTTGCTCTCATTGTAAACGCTCAGGCTATGATAATTCCAGGTGTTTTGTGCTTCTGGATACCCTCCATGGTGGCTAGAGAAGTACGGGAAGAAGGGGGGTCTTCTTTTGCAGGTCCAACCTCTGTTCAGCCACGTCTGCTGCCCCTACTGCTCGTACTCCTGCTGAACTCGCTCGTACTACTGCTGCCTCTGATCACGGCAGTGCCATGGTGCGTGCTCATGCTGTGGGCAGCAACCTTGGCAGTGGTGATATATCCTCTGCTTCACAGCAAGAAAATGGTGGTGGTATCTCCTCTTTGTCTAACTTTCAACTCGAACATGTCCGTATCTTATTAAATATGATCAATCATCATCAACAAGATAAGATGATTGGTGAGTACTTCTCTCTTTCTTGGATTATCGACACAGGAGCCTCCCATCATGTGACAGGCGACGATTCGTGTCTTATTGATGTGCAGCCCATACCCTCGTGCCCTTTTGGCCTTCCGGATGGTGCTCAGGTCGTGGCTACAAAAGAAGGCAATGTGGTGTTGGCTGATGGCATAATACTTCGACACGTTTTATTTTTTCCTAAACTAAAATGCAATTTAATATCGGTTTCTAAATTAATTGACGATTCACATTGTTATGTCCGATTCACTGACTCTTTATGTGCTATATAGGACCAACTCTCGGGGAGCCTGATTGGAGGAGGTGAACAAATAGATGGACTCTACTATTTTCGACGGCTTCCTATAGTAGGTGCGGTGTCGATTCCGGAACTTTCTGCATTTGAGCTATGGCATCGTCGTATGGGGCATCCGTTAGACAGAGTAGTCAAGTTAGTTCCTGCTGTTATTGCTAGTTTTGGTAGAAAAACTTTGAATAAAGCTTGTGATATTTGTCCTCAAGCTAAACAAACTCGTGATAGTTTTCCTAATAGTAATAGTAGAGCTACTCGTATTTTTTAGATGATACATTGTGATCTTTGGGGGTCGTATATGACTCCTTCTACTTGTGGTGCACACTATTTTTTGACTCTTGTGATGATTTTTCAAGAGGAGTTCGGGTTTATTTGTTGAATGACAAAACTGAAGCGTATTCTTTTTTTTGTTCCTTTTTTGCTATGATTAAATGTCAATTTGAGGTATCTGTCAAATGTGTGTGTAGTGATAGTGGTACAGAATTCAAATGTATGCTTCCGTACTTAAATGAACATGGTATTCTTTTCCAAACTTCTTGTGTCAGCACACCCCAGCAAAACGGTCCTGTTGAGTGCAAGCATCAACATATTTTAAATGTAGGTCGTGCCTTAATGTTTCAAGGCAATCTTCCGATTGGTTTTTGGGTGAATGTGTTCTTGGTGTGGTTTATTTGATTAATCGTACTCCTTCTCGTTTTTTGGGGAATAAAACACCGTATGAGTTTTATTTGGTAAAGAACCAAATTTTGATGAATTACGGGTTTTTGGTTCACTTTGTTTTGCTCATAATTAAAAGGCAAAGGGTGATAAATTTTCCCCTCGTAGTCGGAAATGTGTGTTCACTGGCTAACCTCATGGTAAGAAAGGTTGGAAATTATATGATCTAGAAACGGATGACATCTTTGTGTCTCGAGATGTCAAGTTCTTTGAAAATGAGTTCCGGTTTTCTAATGTTCAAGAATCGAGTGTCTCTACTACTACTCCTCATGCTATTGCTGATGAGCGTGAGTTTAGTACTAACATTGAAGTGGATGCAGATTTTTTGGATGACTTAGAAAATGTTTTGCACTTAGGGGAGGTTGCCCTTGAGCCTGCTACCCCAGACAGTGCTATATACGCACTCCTGCCGCAGAGCACAACCTAGACCACAGTCCCACTCGGTCTGCTGCTGCCTCTTCTTTTGAGAGCAGGTCTGGCCACGACCAACCCGTGGGATCAGGCATTGACTACGGGCAACCCGTGGCTGCTACTGCTGCTCATGACCGTGAGCATTTTGATGATGAATTAAGGTCTCCTACTCTTGATCTTCGACGCGGTCATTGTAATAGACATCCACCGGGTTGGCATCGAGACTATGTCGCACATACTGTATCTATTCCGAGTCCATCTTCTAGTTCATCCACCCCTCCTTGCTCCTCAGGTACTCCCTATCCTTTAGCACATTTTGTGAATTGTGATAAGTTTTCTATGCAACACCATATATTTATTGCAGCTATAGATGCGGAAGTTGAACCTCGTAGTTTCAAAGAAGCTATGAAGAGTGAAGGGTTAAGAGAGGCGATGCGAAAATAAATCTCTACATTGGAGGATAATGAGACTTGGGTGATGGAGGTGTAACCTCCGGGGAAGAAAGCTCTCAGATGCAAATGGGTTCATAAAATTAAACTCAATTCTGATGGTACTGTGGAACACTTGAAGGCATGTCTGGTTAATTTTGGCAATCATCAGGTTGAGGGAATTGATTATAACCAGATATTTGCTCCTGTGGAAAAAATGGTCATAGTTCGGGCAATTCTAACCATAGCAGCTGCGAAGAATTGGGAACTCCATCAGATAGTTGTTCATAATGCTTTTCTGCACGGTGACCTTGATGAGGAGGTATACATGAGACCACCCCCCGGATTTCATGGTTCGAAACAGGTCTTGGTATGTCGCTTAAAGAAATCTTTGTATGGTCTTCGACAAGCACCTCGTTGTTGGTTTGCTAAATTGGTCGGTTCTCTAAAAAGGTACGGCTTTCTGCAATCGTACCCTGATTATTCTTTATTCACATTGAATCATGGGGCTATTCATCTAAGTGTTCTTGTGTATGTTGACGATTTAATCATTTCCGGGAATGATTCTTCTGTAATTTCTGCACTCAAGTCTTATCTGAGTGATTGTTTTCATATGAAAGATTTGGGTGTCTTGAAGTATTTTCTTGGTATTGAGGTTGCACGGAGTCCGAAAGGCATTTTTTTGTGCCAACGGAAGTATACTCTTGATATTATCGCAGAGTCTGGTTTGTTAGGGGCGCGACCGGCCAGTTCTCCTATTGAGCAGAATCATACTCTGGCAAAATCAGATGCACCTCTTATTGATGATCCTGAGATGTGAATGATGACTTGTGGGTCATTTGATTCATTTATCTTTCACTAGACCTGATTTGGCTTATACTATTCATATATTGTCGCAATTCATTCAACAACCTCGATAGGATCATTGGGATGCCGCTCTCCGTACAGTTCGCTATCTGAAAAGTTCTCCGGGTCAGGGAATACTTTTAAGTTCAGATTGTGATCTCCATTTGACAGGTTGGTGTGACTCAGATTGGGCTAGTTGTCCTTTGACGAGACGATCGATTTCTGGTTGGTTAGTGTGTCTTGGTGGTTCTTCGATTTCTTGGAAAACCAAGAAACAACATACATTCTCTAAATCTTCTGCAAAGGTCGAGTATCGTTCAATGACGGTAATCACTTCAGAAAGGAAATGGTTGAAGGAGCTTCTTGCTAGTCTGGGAGTCTCGCATCCGCGTGCGATGCGTTTATTTTGTGATAGTCAATCCGCCTTGAATATTGCGTAAAATTCGGTCTTTCATGAACGCACTAAGCATATTGAGGTTGATTGTCATTATGTTAGGGACGTAATTCAGGAAGGAGTTATTAGTCCGTCTTATGTGAAGACAACTAATCAACTCGCGGATGTATTTACTAAGGCCTTGAGTATACACCAATTCTCGTATTTGCTTGGCAAGTTGGGCATTTGTGATCCCTATGCTCCAACTTGAGGGGGGGGGGGGTGTTAGGCCGTATAATGTATTTATTTAGCTGATTGTGTAATGTATAGTTAGCTTTTTGGGCTATGTAGTGTTAAGCCCAATTTAATTTGTATATATATACTCTTCTTTACAGTAATACAAACCATGAAAAATCATTTCTTAGCATTGCACATGATGATCTTCGCTAAATTGGATTATGAAGCAATCAATAATCCTAGTTGGGCCATGCTTGTAGATTTTCTTGAATTAGATTACTAGTAATTAACATCTAAGAAGTCAAATTTATTCTTAATTACATAGAACATGAATTAATAGCATATGATGAAAGTATACATATTAGGGTTTTAAATAATAAGGGGGAGAGATTGAAATTAACAAAAACAATTAAATTATCCTTAGAAATATAGATTAGGGTTATGTTTCAGTTTAATGAAAGGAGAGATTATATTGAAAAAAAATTAATATATTATCTCAATTGAATTTTCAAAGCTATTGAATAATGTTGTCCCCAAATTACAATTTGCTTCGAGCTTTAGTTGTGATGAATGAAAATAAACGAAGAAGGTAGGCAGAATGAGAGAGCAGGTAAATATATAAACTGGAAAAATCGTGAGAAAAATAAAATAAATGGGGTTAAGTGTTTTTTTTTTTAATCTATATACATATAATTTAATAATACATAGCATTACATAGCATTTACAGTACATAGCGGTATTTATCATGTATACTGTAGACTCTCCCATAGATTATACGACAATATATTGGTTATAGGAAGAGGTTTAGGATATCAATTGTGTGTTTACTTTCTTATATTTCCAAATTGAATTTCAAATCAAATGAATCATGAAAAGCCATAAAGTAGTTAAAAATTAAAGCACATAATAATCAAAATTTCTCATATTTCAGTGATGTAATGATTACATTAGCACTATGAAAACCAACCTTGGTTTAAAAGTATTAATCAAGTTGAATTAAGCTAAGCATAAAGAGCTCATAATGTGGCAAAAATTAATATGATTGGTTAGTACAGATAACATACGAGTATTCATAATTACCACTATGATTCAAAATAATTTACCACTAAAATGGTCCCACACTTACTCTTACCCCTTTTTATCCCAAACTTCTTTATACAAGTAATCATATAACATCATCAAGTGGATTGTTTTGTGCTAATTTTTTAAGATTTTTAATAATCATTACAAGTTTTGTGTTTAGCCGATTCACAAAGAACTTGGGAAGCCATCCTGCTGGATCTAGCTGTATGTAAAACAAAAAGGGAAAAGAAAAAGAATTAAATATAAAGTAAGACATTCTTTTTTTTTTTGAAGAACATAGACATTCTTGAAATTGAAAAAAAAAAAAAAAAAAAAAAAACTCAAAGTGACATTTTAATCATAAAGTTTTTTAGCTTACCATTCTCATCTTATTTCTAAATTCAACTTATTTTGAAAATATGATGGTGCATAAACATTGTCAACGTGGTAGAGTAAGTCTTATATAATGACAGCTTTTGCGAGACCACTTATAAAAGTTACTACATCCCAAAGCATACTTTATATATTAAATATCTATAATTATATAAGAGTAAAAATTATAAAAAGTTATATTGTGAAAGTATTTTTTGAGACAAATTTAACAAGACCCCACATGACTATATTTTACTTTACGTATAAATCATAATTTATGGTCAAACAAGCATGATAAATAGTGCAAAAATCTAGTTGTTGCAATATTACTAGAACGGAGGAAGTATAAGACATCTAATTCTTTTTTTTTTTTTTTTTTTTTTTTTTGTGTCTACTTATATACTTGTAACCATTTAACTTTTTTATTTTTATGTGTAACATTTAAATTTTTAACCGGTTTTAAGCCCATTTTTCATAATTGAACTGTATACTTTGTTTAATTAGTGTTGCTCTTTATCTAATTAATAATGGTTACTCCGCTTCGTATATTATAAGACTATCTCACATAAGTTGTTGTACGTGTATTACATTCTACGAAGATAATAGCCAATATAAGTGTTTCTAACAATTTTGTATAATTTCTTTTTCTCACAATTCTTGTACAAGTATTTAATTTTAACAGTTGATGAATAATACCTGAACAACATAGGTGACCATGCAAGAATCATCCTCAAGCTTCTCCACAACCCACCCAGATTGCAATAATAAACCTCTAATAGCCTTGTTTTGTTTAGGGTATAACCCAGCAGCTATCTCTTTGGGTAGTGATGCTACTGCTACCACCAGGGTGCCATCATCCATTGTCTCACGTCGCTCGTATACAATGAACTCTCTGTTCTTAAACAACGGCCTCGAGGCATCCCCGAACCTTAGACGTATTATACTTAGATTTTCTTCAAGATCTTTTATGTATCTTGCCTCCACCAAGTCATGATCCCATTGCTGAGTTTTCAAAATTCAAATTTTTATTATAAAGTTATACAGGTTACTGTAACAACATAATTTCACATACTAAAAAATTCTATTGTTCATTCAATTATACTAAGCATTGATTAATAAAATCAACAGAAACAAAATAACATAAACATCAAACTCGTCTTTGGAAGAAATGATGAAGTAGGTGAACCATTACTTCGTATGATACAAGGAAAGGTAACAATTTTTTCCGAACACCTGTATATAATATATTTTTGATGGAGGCTTATCAATTTAATTTTTGTTTTTTCTCTGTTTCCTAGGAGATTAGTTGAGAAGGTCAAAGAGTTAGTTCAACTACTAAATTCATATGACAAAACAGAAAAACAGACCTTTGCAGCATCAATAGCATTGGCAACAGAAATGAACTGCTTAGGAGAGACTGATCTGAGTAGCCAGCGACTACGAAAGATATGGAATGAACCTGAACGCCGTTTGGATATTTCCATGTCTCCATCTAACGAAAGAATCTTCCATCCATCATTCCCATTCCCGTTCCTGCACGAGTCTGAGGCTGAAAGAAGCTCTTGTATACAATTCTCACTTGCATAGTGTACGTATCTCCTTAGCGAATCCTCGCTAATAGACCTTGCAACAGACAGAACAGAAATTATTTTACTGATTGATCAAGGCCGAAACAATGAAGACAGAAACATAACAAAAGAAGGAAAAGAAAGTTACCATGAGCTGTTGCAAGGTGCTGGGCTACTCATATTATCAGGCATAATTGAAAACGCTGTTTAGATATTCTAATCACTTCTTTTTCATATCACAAACCTTAGCAAAGAAACAAGCCTATATACCATCAAGAAAAAAAGAATTGAGATGGAGAAGGTACTGGTGGTGGGGATGAAGATTAGTTTTTGAGTGGCATAAGGATCATGGAATAATTTTATATATAAGGTGGGCCAAAATCATTTGATGCACATGCAAATGCCAGGAGCCAAAAATATTAATTAAAAAACAGATGCATGATTAGAAACCTTACCTTGATCAATTCACCAATATAGGAAAAAAACAGTCTCGTGGAATCTTGTTAGATTCATCTATGAACGTTTTCAATATATCTTTTCAAATTTCTTACTGATGTGTGATTAATGTATTAATAACTATTTAAATACTTTGTACATTATAGACCGTACGTCAAAGTCAGAGTGTTGCAAGTAATTTAGATCGATCGATGGAGGAAGTACAATAAAGAAATGATGCATGATTAGAAACCTCACCTTGCTCAACTCTCACACAGACTTTCTGTTATCAGAAAAAGAAAAGATTCCTTCTTTGTAAAAGAGCAGCATAAAATTTAAGAAGCAGATAGAAAGAGAGCACATGGAATGCTGCTTAATTTCTGAACACAGATAAAACAGGAGAGAGAAACAAGTATAAATGCTAAAGCCAGAGGTATAATATGCATAAGTTAACTCTAAAACTTGCCTGTTTATGGGTGACCAAAGGCCCTACCAAATAAAATCCATCAAAAGGTCCCAAAATCACGTGCTTAAGAAGCAGCCAAAGTTTGCAAACAAGAAATGACAGCAAAAACAGGCAATCTTTCTCTTTGGGAAAGCTCTTTACTGGAGTAACTACTAACCACTACCATGTACTTACAGTACTTTCCATTGTCATTCTTAACCTTAGTTTCTGCCATTGATTTAATATCATGTGTCTTTTACAGAAGTTGATAGAAGTCATTAATAATTGGGTGACTGACCCTAAACCGAGGTTTGGACTATCTGCTGATTATCGCGATGCTCTTACAGGGATATCATGTGGGGAGCCCTAGATTTCAATGAAACTGGACATGAAATTTGCACAAAATATAAAACCAACGTTAGTACAGTAATAGGAATCCATAGAACAATTATCGCTAAATACAATTTTTATTAGTAATGTCAGTAGCTTTTCATTAACAAATCATTAGTACAGGATGATTATGAATCGCAATGAAACAGATCAAACTAATTATTAGCGAAAAAGAAATTTATTATTCTTAGGATAGTAACAGAAAATAGACGGGAAGACTAAGACTCATACGAGTTGATTATTTTAGTTGACTGTTTCTAAAACTACGGAGACTTTACTTCTCTGGAGCATCTATGAGACTATGAGCTTGGAGTTTGTTTATCCTTGAATCCTAGGCCATCAAGCCCACTATTATTGTCTTCCGTGTTGCTTCTAACTGCATCAAAATACAGGAAGAGGTTAAATTTTTAACTGCAACTATGATTCTGCTTTTTGTATATCCAAGAGACCTTTGGCCTTCAAGCTGTCTACTGTCTCCTGTATTGCTTCTTTGAGTGGTGTAAAAACTAGGCCAAGATTGATCAATCTCTTGGCTGCATCTCTGCATGCCACCAGACCTGGTTGGGTTTCTTCAGTAAACCTGACATTTCGAAGCAGTTCAATTAAAAGCAAAGGTTATTAAGCCTCAAACGCTAAAATTGAAAAGAAGATATTGAGGTAAAGCAACAAGAGTACATAAATTGCAAGTAACAATGCTTTCCATCAACATAACTTTTCTTAGTTCAAAACCTTTTCGCACTTTCCTAGTTTTTGAGTTTTTCATGCCGTTTCCAGACCATAAGGGTATGTAGACAGAGATAAACATTTCTCAAGGAACCTTCCCAACTACTTTTGAGTTTACTTCCTGGTGAAAATCCTAGTAAAATGATTTTTACACTCTCCTAATGTACATAATACCACATGCATTACCAACAAAATTTTAGTAATATCTAAATTTATCATCTTCCTATAATTCTTTCAAACAAATCTTCCATGTAAGATCATATTCATTCTTGCAGTTATTAGTCAGAAAAAAATTACCTCTTATCAAGTTGCTACATGTTTTCACAAGATTAAGAGAGAAAAAAGTTCAAATATTAATCCATAAAAGTATATAAATACAGCAGCGCTGAAAATGATAAAATCGTCAAGTCAGCTAAAATCTTTAGTTTTACAGAATCACAGATTGCCAACCAAGTGTTACAACATGGGTTATTGTATTAACAACACATATTATAGGACAGTTTAGATAAGTAGTGGAATTTAAAAGTTTAGAAGACATGTTATAATGTAGAGAAAATTAGGGTCGAATTCTTAGGATGATGTTATAATGTTATCCACTAGGTCTAGAAAAACCAAAGCTTTAGGCTAGGCTCACAACTGCAAAATCAGAGTTAAATACATGAAATGTGAAAAGTGTTACTCTTGTAAAGTTGTTGGTCTTTTTCTTTCCTAATTAAATGATTTAATGAATAGTACTAGATCAAGGACCAAATCAGCAGCAGTGAAGATTAGATATAATAATGCTAAAATTAGCCTTATTAGAAGCATAAATGCAGGGAAGGAAGGTTACAAAAGAACTCAAAGGAACAACGAAAAGGTTTTATTTGTAATGGTAACATCAATCATCATATGGCCCAAAAATTCCTTACGAAGTCAAATGAGTGTTTTTGATGAAAAGCACTATACCACTACAATTTCAAACATCATTTACTCAACTTATATTTGCTATCTTAAAAAAAGAAAGGGGTTTGCAACATTCCACATGGTCCATAAAGTAATCCAGCATTTTTTTGTGTGTGTTTTCGCTTTCTGGGAATGTTGGTGGTGCTGTGCAGTGACCACATGATATCTGGTGTGTAGTGGCTTGCCAAAAGCAAAGAAATTAAGCTGCTAAGTAAAATGATCCGAAAATCTCTAGAGATCTACACTAACAATCATAATGAAACTGCTGAAATGAAAGCCAAGCCCATATCTTTACTTCTTGCCATTTAAAATTTGGGGAAAAAAATAATAATAATAATAATAATTTAAAAAACACCAAGAATTGCTTAGGGGAAAAAACAGAAAGAGACAGGGACGGAGATATCAGAATATGTATTAGAATAAACAAGATGGAAGAAATAAACATGTGGAACGATTGTTCCCCTGAACAAAACAATACAGGCTTAATAAAATGAATCGCACCTTGTGTCAGTCACGAATAATCATACAATAGGCCAACAGACAGACCAGAGGAACACAAAACAGACCACACAAACACAGGTAAACAATTAGCAACAACTTCTCAGTGGATATCTCAACATTTTTTGATCTCCTATCAAACCATATGCACCAAAACATATATCAGGCAATATGACATTACATCATCTTCTCCTCATCTTAGTCAAAACAAACTTGTAGATCCTAAGGGGATACTAAATTACCCAGAAAACCAACATCACAGAATGCACCGCTAAACAACCTTCCCTACAGATGGTGAGTATCAAGTATCAACTAAACAAAGATATGTATGCCCACAATTCACGACTTTCCATGAGATTAACAAACAGAAAATCCTGAACGATCCTTAAATCTAACGCGTGGCTTATATTTAGAACCTTATATCTCCAATATACAAGCACCAATGACTTCTGATAACACTATGAGGAAATGGGGGAATGAACAATACCATTTAACTATTCAAATAACATGAAGGACGATCCATACTGCAAAGCCTTCCATCGAAATTAAGAGGACCACCCAAAGTGCTAGATACTATTCTAAAGTCATGCTGATCTTAACTACAAAGAATCAGGATTTTAATTAATAGGAAAATATTTCAAGACATAGAAGCCATGTACTTCAGTCTCCTAATGCCTTCCCATTATTGAAAAAAGGTTAAATAAATCAAAACTACATTCACACCAATCACATGACATTGTTTTAGAATACTAGATAAGCTTATGGGTTAGATATTCAACTATTTGCCCCTCAGACCACAGCACAACTGATTCTTTATCATGCTCATTGCTTTCATCGACAAAAAGAGGCAATTTAATCACCTCTTTGTAGGTAAAGTGTTGAAGGAAATCTACGCTGTGGTGAAATCAAGAGTGAGAAACATAATATGAAAGAAAGCAGCCGAAGGCTACAGATATTGGCTTAATACTCTTTAGCTTTCTGCTACTCGGTCTTTCTGTAACAATCCTGTATTCTCTACTATGTCTGCTTTTGTCTTCTGTCTTTCTAGTTGTTTAAGCGTCTAGAGGGGAAGGGGATCATTCGTAGAAAGTTTGTCATCTTTCTAGATTCCTTAGGTTATATTACTAGATTTATCAGTGAGAATACTACATACCAAAAACCTAATAACAAAATAATAATAACTATAGAAAGGTGATAAAATAGACCTGTAAATCGGGTACCCAGGGAAGAGTGCAGAGACTTTAGCGGCAAAATCACCAAACTGGTAGATACCATTAGTGCAAAGGTACCTGCCAGAAGCAGCAGGGGTCTCAAACAACAGGACTTGAGCTCTTGCCACATCTTTAACGTGCACTGCTCCTAACCAGTGATACTCCTGAGTCTCTTCCGATCCCTGAAGCAGCTGTTGCAGAACAGCACAGCTCGCATTCAAGCCTGGCTGCAGCAGCTTGCCAAGACACGTAGCTGGATTAATAGCCACCACATCTAGACCATGCTTTTCTGAGAATTCCCAGGCAGCCTTTTCTGCCAGTGTTTTAGATATTGAGTACCATTTCTGTGATACGCAAACATAAACACAACCAAATCAGCAAACGCAATGAAGTTAAGACAATGAACATCTGCTTAAATGAAATGGTTAAACATAATCACTTGATCATGTAAAATTAGGTGATAGGGATCCAATAGCTTAGGTATAAGCCCCTTCCTTTGTGAGAAAAAGTGTAACATCTCTTTAATCATCTAATAGTAAAATTATGAAAAATTATTACATTGAAAATATAATTGAGATAAATCTAAAAACATCCCACGAAGTATATATACTAACACTTGTTGTATGCTAATAAATGAATTTGGTCAAATTGTAGCATGTGAATAATGTCAAAACATTACATTCAACCTGCAATGAAGGGGATTTTATCATACGGAGTATCAAACAAATTAATTAAATTCAAATAACTACAGATAAGTCTAGACAAATTAACTTCATATCAGTTTAGACGTGACGATTGCAGATACAATAAAGTTTATATTACAATTTCACACCAAATAAAAATACTTCATACAATTTAAGTTTTTTTTATAACTTCAAATAAGTTAGACAATAGATATTAAATCAAATAGCACCTTAACAAGATATCACTAACCCTATAAGTACAATAATTTAGACATTTTAAGGGGACACCGCTACCTCCCTTTCGCTTATACCATAGATATATATATCCAAATAACAATTTTTACATCTAAATGATTACAATTAGATTCCCCCTTTGGCCCTTTCTCATCAAAACTCAAACATTCCTCACTTTAATTTTCCTATTGTTTTAAGCTTCAATCATTACATTCCCTTGATTATGTAATTCAATAATCTTAAAATAACCAAAAACTAATACAAGTTTTTCCGACATACATTAGAACCTCTGGTGGTGCACGTGCAATCACAGCTAACTATATTCCCAATTAGCATATATTATTGTATATTCCACAAATTAATTGATAAAAAACAATACAAACAAGTTAAATCCCACAAAAAAAAATTGATAAAAAAAATACGACAAGCTTAATTGGTTAAAGTCGTGAGAGATCAATCATATGAACGTCAATAAACATTTTTACTAATGAGATCATTAAAACTGAGTCCTATGTACGATAGATTACATGTTCAGATCCCTCACTTTCATTGGTAAATTTGTATTGCGTACCGTATTCGAATTTAAATTAAACACAAATTTGAGTAGGGGAAGGGAACCTGATGAGAACGGCAATAGTGAAGATCAGTCCAAGAAGACTCATCAAAAGGCAAAGAAGAAGACCAAGCAGGATTAGGAACCATAGCAGAAATAGAAGAAGTAAGCACCACCCTTTTCACCCCATGTTTCTTAGAAGCTTCTAGAACATTAAGAGTACCCTTAACAGCAGGGTCCACAAGCTCAGACTGTGGGTCCTCAGGATCCTCCAAAGTACAAGGGGATGCCACGTGGAAGACCCCATGGCATCCTTCAACAGCCCTCGAAACAGCGTCGTAGTCGACGATATCGGCTTCGAATATTTGTATGGTGGGAGGAGGAATAGAGGAAGGGAGGAGATATAGAAGGTGAGAGGAAGAAGAGTTGGGGAAGATGGAGCAGTTGATGGTTGTGTAGCCGGATTCAATGAGGCTCTTCACAAGGTATGTGCCAATGAAACCGTTTGCTCCTGTTACGCATACTGCTGCCTTTTTGTTGGAGATGGGAGAAGATGACATTTTCTGGTGGGTAAATTGAATGTTGATTTTCTGTTTGTTTGTTTTTGAGTGGAATTCGGCACAGCTGATATTTTAACTGAGAAACTCCATGTAATGCGGTAAATGTTTATGGGGCAGTTAATATGAGGGATATGGATAAGAGATTTAACGAGAGATGATAAGTATAAGGATAAGGATAAATACACCTTTTTTTTTCTGAACTGCTATTCGTCGTTCGCAAATTACTGGGTGACGTTCACATTTTTACTTGAAATAACATTTTTGCCCTTGTGGGTATTTTATCTATTTAAGGGTCCACCATGGGTAAATTTAGTTACCGACAACATTAAAAACATTACCGACCCACCACTTGTGTTAAAAAAATCCCGAGCATTAAAAATCCCGGTTCCACCATTGTACGGTAATCCCGAGGAATTTAAAAATCCCGGGCCAGAAAAGGAAAGTGTGCGGAGTGATGTTTTACGATGGACGACGACAACGTTCACACGCCGGAGGGTTCGACGGAAGAATCTGTAAGTATTTCGGAATTTATTTATTTTTGTAAATAGGACATCCGCTTGTTTTTTCCGGAAATCTGGGGGAGATCCGCCCAAAATTTCCGGATGTCCCTAATTACATCCGGAAATTTCATCCGGATTTGTACATCAGCCTGAAATTTCCGGATGTTATTGGGGACATCCGGAAATTTTGGGCGGATCTCCCCCAGATTTCCGGAAAAAACAAGCGGATGTTTATCATTTTCCAATATTTAATTATGTTGTATGCTTGATTGTTAGTTGTTGTTTGCCTTGTTGCTGCTTATCACCCTTCTACTCTCTTTCTTTATCTACATTTTTTTTCCTTACCCCCCCCCCCTCTCTTTTTACACACTTTATTTACCTTTTTTTTTACACTAACCCAACCCTTTCTTTCCAATCGATGTATAATAAAAGCGAGAACAGGAGTGACACATGTCATCTCCTTATCCAAGATCAAGAAGCCCACTTAAAAACTCCATGATTCATGGTCAGGTTGCTCAATTTTTAGAAGCTCTTGGGTTCACTACTTTCGCTCTCAAGTCCGAATTTGAGACATTCCTCACATGGGCATATGTTTAAAGCTCATATATATGTCTAATTCTGGAATTGGAATTAGTTTAGGAATTTTTTCGTAGTCAGATAGGCTTTCCTTATGCTTGCTGTTAACTTAATGCTCGTTATTCTTATTATAAGCACGTAAGATTAAACTGGTGGTTGTATATCTGCAGGCCTACAAGATGTTCCTGATGTTGCTAACCTGTCTGATATCGGTTTTAAATTTGTCAAACGTTCAGCCAATATTGGACCCCTCTTTCACAACTTCGCTCTGCAGCAATATATAATTCTTTGTTCTCAGGTAGTTTTTAAATTGGGGGATTTCTTGGTATGGTTTAATTAATTATATTATTTTTGAGTTGTTGCCATAGGTACTAGACAGTAGAGCCTACTAGTAGCATGGTTGCCTGGTATAGGGATATATATTTTTCAGCATTTATAGTAACATGAGGAGTATAATTTTCTGATAGACAACTCATAGAAGTAGGGTAACTTCCATATATTCTAACATTATAACCTTTTTTTTTTTTTTTCACTTTGGGCCTTCCATAAATATTCTTTCTCTTGTGCTTGTAGAGGTGAGATTGCAGACATTGCTCAAGGCAGGATTATTGGGTTGTCATATTTGTACTGCATAAAACGCTCCATCTATTATACAAGTCCATCTATATATCACAAAAGCTAGTTATGTAAAGTTTATGAATAGTATTAAAAGTCAAAACTTATTAACTTAAAATATTTAGTATAACAAAAAAAGAAAATCACTGTGTGAAATAGGCATGGAACATGAAATCTTTTCCTCAAACCCCTTGATACATCGCCATACTGGCATAAGCTATCTAATGAGAATTTAAGACGCATCTAATTGACATGGAAATGTTAAGTGCATGTCGTCTATATGAACAAAAGTTCTAAGTTGAGGTCACCCAATTGGAATTTTGGGCTGCCTCTCGCTTGTTTGAGGTAGCTGCATATAGTCAGTCATAGATCTGTGTATTAAATCAGTGGAGAATTTTGCAGCTGATGCTTTTATGCTAATCAAGGTTGTGTCAATGTGTCATGGTGGTAGATAGAGGACATGTGTTTTGATAATATGAAATAGTTTTGTTGAAATTACATCCATCTGAAAAATATCAATTGATCTAGTGATTTGGTAAAGCTATCTTCTTTTCCCACCCCTCCTCAGGAGATGGAAAATAGAGGAAAGGAAAAAGTGATAATATGCTTGCTTTTCACATTTGTTATGTATTAAGATATTTTAGAAATAAATTCCTGGTAACTATCTTTAACACCTTCGATTATCCTGAACTCTTTCACAGAGGTGGCATAATTGTTGAAGTGATTTTTTTCCCCTCAAATAAGTGAATGTGATTTATTGGTGCAGATTATGGATGGAGGATTTAGAGACAAGCCTGGAAAGAGCAGAGACTTCTACCACACATGTTATTGTTTAAGTGGTCTTTCAGTGTGCCAGTATATCAGTTTGAAGGATGCTGACTCTTTGCCTACGGCGCAAGAAGTGCTTGGTCCATATTCAAATCTCTTAGAACCAATACACCCTTTGTATAATGTAGTCCTTGACCGTTACTACAATGTTCATGAGTTCTTCTCACAATTGTAGAGTAGCAGGTGATAATCTTCTGAATATTAGAAGCCATTGAGATAAGAGGAGTGAGGGACAGAGAAAGGTTTATTGCAAATTAGTTTGAGTTAATGTATAATTAGGCGCAATCCAACGATCTAATGTTAAGTTGTTTGTATATTATGATGAGTATGGTCATTTACCAAATGCTGCAAGTTGTTTTAGGTGTATTTTAAGTTGTCAAAATAGGGTATCTGATAGACCAATACCCAAGATTGGATAAGAGTGTCCACTACAAGAAATAGAATGGTGAATTTACCTTGTTGAAATTGTTAGAACACAATATATCTAACAATATAATTCGATTGACAACAACAATGATATGGTTTTCACAATCTGGTATTAACAGAAGATTTTATGGCTATGACTTCAATGTTTATAAGTATTTTTTTGACAATAATGTTTATAAGTATTTGATTAACTTGATTTACTTAAATGACTTAGTGTGACACTAGTTATATGTCTAACCATGCTTATTAGGGGGTGTTCTGTTTTTATGTAGAGTGATGTGAATCTGAAATGCAAAATGAACCATGATTGTATCAGGTTGGAACTTGAATCCGGAAATATTATTTATTTGTGATTAGTTTTTTCTATAATTTGATACCTGAACGAAGTGCATCTGATCTGTGGGCGTATAGGCCCTATGTGAGGGCATAATACATTTGTAAAGGTATTTTTAGAACTAAAATGGTATTTTTTTTGTGTAGCACTATGCTTATATATAATACCACTAGATTATAGGTTTTCTTTGTAGTACTATTATCTCACAATGGTGTAATATTTGATGCACTATTTACATATTTATTTGTATTATTAGAAAAATATTTGTACCATTACACCATTTAATGATACTACTTACCTATTTAGTGGTACATATGTTAAAATTTATGACTTTGTCATCTTATTTGTTGCATAAAATATAGGCTTAGGCTCCAAGAGTTTTCCACCTGAATGTTTGTTAAGAGCTATACCCAACCCATATTGAGCTATTAAAACCCATACCTTCCCATATTGAGCTATTATGAAATACCCATTTGACCTAGGCACCTCTTTTGATGAATTTTGGTATGTTATTAACTAGGCTTTAAACATGTGTTAGCATATTATAGGACTAATTAATAAGAGGATCTAGATTTAAAAAAGGTTTGGACTCAAAAAGGGGATTCAGATCATCTTTCATTACATTTCGAAATTCGTACACTTCAACTTTAATCTAGGCTGAAATGTACTGTAAATTTTTATCTTATCATTACAATTTGGTTACGGAACATTTTACCAAAAGTAGATGCCTACAGATCATATGATTTGATGTATATATGTTGAATTGGATACTAGCAACTCTGATTTGTTGCTTTTAGGGATTGAATTTGATGTTGTTGATCCCATTAGGGGTGCTAAACCTTCTAGCCGAGCCCGAATAGTAGTATGCTCGGCTCGAGCTCGTTTATCTCAAAGCAAGCTCGGCTCGAGCTCCAAGCTCGACGAGCTTTAGAAATACAAGCTCGGCTCGAACTCGTGACTCTATACGCAGGTTCGGCTCGGTTCGAAGCTCGGCTCGAGATCTTGATTTTTTTTTGGTTTGAGCTCGAATTCAGCTTGGTTTAAGGCCGATGACGAGGTGTAGGACTGGGCTAGTGGTGATGACGAGCATGCGGTGGACCGGTGGTGTGTTGATGGAAGCCATGTTACATTGAGATGGAGATGTTTTTGATGCAAGTAGTTTAACAGAGGAGAGAGTAAAGAGCTTCTAATGTTAGGAGTAGGCCGTAGGGGAGCACAGGAGAGAGAATCTAAGAAAAGAGTTTGGGTTTTCTTTCAAGTTTATTTATGAAAGGCCTAAAGGTATGCGTGCAAAGCTGGGCTTTTATTTTTGGGTCGAAATAAACACACACATGTAATTAGATTTGGTTGATAGTTTTGTTTTTGGTTCTTAACCAGATTTTAAATCTTCATACTTAAATTTAAATAAAAACAATAGTTTATTTTTCTAAATTACACTACGTATATTGTAATTGAGCCTGTTCACCGGCTTTCGAGCCGAGCTTTGACTTGCTCGGCTCTGCTCGTTAAGGTTTCGAGTCGAACTCAAATTCGAGTCAAGCCTCATCGAATTGAGCTTTGACCGAACTGAGCTCGAATAGTTCACGAATAGCTCAGTCTCATTATCACCCCTATCCATATATATCAATTAATTAATTGAATTTTTTTGAATTAACAGTATACGCAATCAAACTATATCAATTACTCTAAAATAATTGATTTAATTTTCATGTTTACATGGAAAGAAGATTAACCTTATTATTTGAAAAAAAAATTAACAAATAAATTAATTTAGTAATAGTGCAATACACGTTAAAAACTCCTAGAATAACATGGACAATTAAATTAAAGACATTTGTATATGGAGTATATTTGGATTGTAATAAGGGACAGGATAGGATAAAAAACCACATTATCTCTCCATTTCTATACCAAAATTTTCATGATAAGAGATAAAAAATGAGTTTTAAAAGATTAAAAAAGAAATTAAAAGACTATCATCCCTTAATGAAATTAAAAGACAAAAAAAAAAAAAAAAGGGTGTTGTTAAACGTCGTTTGCATTTTACTAGGTGACGTTCACATTTTTTACATGAATTTCCTAAATTGCCCTCCGTATATAAATACTCGATAAAGTAAGTTAGGGCTTTACGAGACATTTCCCATCTCACAAAATCACTCTTTGACACTTTCTCTCTCTAAAACCTTCCAAAAAATCAGAAATTTTGAAAAAAAAAAAAATCAGAAATTTTTTTTTTAAAAAAAACCAAAATAGTTGAAGGCTACTCAAATACAAGCAAATCTTGCAATCAAACGTTGAATCCGACAATGGCAGACCGACGGAGTATTAGGCTGACGTTTGGTGGTCGTGGTGGCGGCGTTAGCGGCGGCGAGCCGGTGAGGTTTTTTTTGTTTTAAATTTTTGAATTTTGAAAAAAAAAAAAAATTCTGGACAAGGGGACTTCCACCCAGAAATTCCGGAAGTCCAGGGGAGCTTCCGGAAATTTCAGGCGGAAGTGGGGTTTCCGCCTGAAATTTCCGGAAGTTCCCCTGGACTTCCGGATTTTCTGGGCGGAAGTCCAGTTTCCAGGTTTTTTTTTTTATTTTTTATTTTTCTGTTATTCCCCCTTTTTTTTTTTCTTTCTATTTTTCCCCTTTTTTTTTTTTGGTTTTTGTGTTTTTGTGTTTTTCCACCTTTTTTTTTTTTTTTTTTTTCTGTTTTTCCTTTGTTTTTTAATTTATGTTTTTCTTATTTTTTTTTGTCCTCGATTTTGTTGATTTGGTGCATGTTTTAATTTGAAAATATTTGTGTCCTTCATTTATTTTTATTTTTTTTTGAAGTAATTTGTGTCCTTCATTTGTGGTATTAAAATAATTTTTTTCTTGATTTAGTTTTGCAATAGTTATTGATATGTAATTTTTGTTGATTTAGTTTTATAATAATTATAGTTTTACAATAATTATAGTTTAGCATTAAAGTAAGTTTGTTGTTGCTATGTATTGTTATTGTTATGTAAATTTGGTTTGGTTTGTATTGGTTTTTGCTGCTGTTGTTGTTATGTATTATGGTTGTTTACTTAAATTGTTGTTATTGTTATTGTAATTGTTTTTTTTATTGGGTTGTCGTTGTTGCGTTTAAATTTTGGCAGTTTTGTGGTTAATTATAGTTTTGATTTGGTCTGTTATTGTGTTGAAATTATTTGTAGTGTGTTAGTGTGTTGTTATTGTTAGTAGTGTATTAGTATTGTAAGAATAATATTATTGTTATTATTTGTAATGCTGTTATTATTGTTTATTTGATTTGATTTATTATAGTTTTGATTTGATTTTTTTGACTATGAATTATTATTGAAATATGATTTTGTACTTATTTTTTTAATGCAGATTGAGGGTTCTGGTCCTCGTCATGCAAGATCAAGACGTTTGAATGCGTCTGTTAGGAGGGAGTTAGGTGGTGCAGGACCTTCACATGCACCGTTTCAGCATGAGCAGCAGTATGGGACTGCTGGTGCTTGGTCGGGGGAGCACCAGTCACAGGGGAGCGCCCCCATGTATTCGTCTACTGGAGTGCCTTCATCAGATGAGGATGAGGATGAAGATCGAGGAAGTCAATCTGCTGGAGATGCACAGTACGACCCTCAGGATTACCGTACTGTGTATAGGGGTGACCATGGGAGATATGTTAGCAGTAGTGAACCAGGTCAAGCTTCTACCAGCTCGTCAGAGTCATGAGTGGTGCAGGAGCCGATGCCAGGTGGGCCTGAGGATGGTACCGTTATTCCGAGTTTTGGGGGTCACGTGTCTGCCTACATATTGGGTGGGCAGGAGCGAAACGTGCTGCGGTGTTTGAGCAGGACACAGTTGTGTTCTGAATTGGGTAACTGGCGCGCTCGTCTTCCGCCGGAGCACCTGGAACCGATTGATGGCACTGGTCTATCTCATTTACCCGGGATCATGTTCCGGCGATTTGACTGGCCCTTAATTTCTGCTTTTGTTGAGAGATGGCAGCCAGACACGAACACGTTTCACATGCCTTTTGGGGAGATCACGATCATGCTACATGATGTGTATCATATTCTAGGGCTTCGTGTCGACGGTTCCATGGTTTCCACTACTCCTAGCACGGACGTTTTACGGGACGCGTGCTCGGTTACCTTGGATATGACTGAGGAAGAGCTGAATGAGAAGTGTGGTACCAAAACCGTATGGCAAGGTAGTGGGGTCCTGACTGAGAGGATAGTGGAGTCGACCTTGGAGGCGTAGAGGCCCTTCAGTTTCCATTACAGGGCGTACCTGTGGTTAGTACTCGGCGGTTGTTTGTTTTTGGACAAGAGTGGAAACCGTACTCATCCTTCCTTCTTCAACGAGCTGTTTGTTGAGGATGTTCAGATTAGTGAGTACTCCTGGGGTTCTGCTGTGCTAGCATACATGTACCGACAATTGGGTACAACATCACGAAGAGATGCTGATTCTATCGCTGGCTGCCTTACGCTTCTGCAGGCATGGATCTACGAGTACTTTCCGTGTTTCCAGCCTCAGCAGGGGACCTTGACCAGAGAGCTTGCTATTCCTCATGCGTCCGCCTGGGATGTTGGATCGGGGTGCCCTAACAAGAGCATGGAGCGCCTTCTCGCTTTTCGGGCTAGGTTGGATCATTTGACTGACAATGAAGTTAACTGGCTACCGTACGGAGTTGATCCAGCATGACGCGTGCCTGCTACTCTTTTCATTGGCTGCATCCAGTATCGTAGCATCATTGAGCCATACATGCCTGATCGAGTGGTTCGGCAACTTGGATACGTCCAGGGCATTCCACCAGCCATTATCAGGCCTGAGAAGGCTAAGAGACCGACGAACTTGAAGATGTATCGGGTTGACGTTCCGCCAGAGATGACATCTGTGATGTGGACTTGGTTTGTCCCTGGTATGTCTTTTAGTGTCGTGGTTGGTGCCCTCAGCAGACTTGGTGGTGGTGCTCCTACAGTCGGTCCTGGTTACATGCAGTGGCTGTACCGATTTTCTCATCCACGTGTTTCTCCAGTTGCGTCATCACATGAGAGTCGCACACTGCCAGAGAGAACTAACACGGATTACGTAAGTAGTTGTATTTTTTGGTATAATTTAATAAGTTGCTATTTTAATATGTTGTTTATAATATGTTGTTTTTAAAATCCGATTTTTTTAATATGTTGTTTTTAATATGTTGTTTTTTTTAAAAAAAACTTGTGATTTATTTAATATGTTGTTTTTTTTAATTTAAGTGGATGGGTCGGTCTATGGAGGTCATCAACAGGACCCTGGAGGAGTATCCGAGCCTATCGCGTGATACAAGAGCAATGGCTGAGGCGCTACGAGCTGATTGGAGGGCGATGATGGGGTTGTGAACTTCCTGTTTTTTTTTTATTTCCCTTGTACGCATTTCGTTTATGTACTATTTATTCGTCACGTACTTTAAGTATTGAACAACTGTTTTGGTGGTTTTGTAAATATTTTGTTTAATTAAGTTCAATTCGTTGCAAATTACATAACGACAACTGTTTAACATAAATGAAAGTATAACAACATGTTCACTATCAAATTAAGGCATCCCACATGTTCCTTCTAGCTTCGTAACGCTGATCCCAACCGTCAACACTTGGGTCGTGGTGCTCGGTCCACCAACCTGCAACCGGGGGAAGTGGCGAATCAGGTGCAAGTTCAATACAAATAAAATGTGAGGCCCCAACTGTAGCGATGACAAACTCTCGCTCCGGTGCTGTGACCCCCCTTCTTGCCCGCAACGGCAATATCGTAGGCATGGGTAGTAGCAAGTTGGTGTTTAGCCTACACCAAGAATAATAACCGCTGCGTTGAACCAAGTCGCAATAGGAAATAAATCTTGTATTGCAACCATCCAATGACGGGAATCAACCGCCCCACCGTCCCATCGAATACGCTGCACATTGATCTCAAGTCTTCCAAGCCCATAAATCCTCTCATATAGGGCTCGATAACCGAGGACCTCATTCGCTATTGTCTCTCGAGCGTCATACCATCGGCCTTGATCACCGAAGAAGAACTCGGCCACACAACGAAACCCACAGTTCCCATCGCCAATGACATCCTTCCATCCTGTGATGTAAGGCAACATCGGCCCTGGAAGCATGTGTCGATAACGGCTTTGGCTCATGTCGTTTACATCTCTTGCACAAATGTAGGTTTTAGTTAATAGTTTAGTGAACGCTGATTTATGTGAAAAACACAACACTCAATCGTACCTGTTTGTCGTGCGCCGTGTTCAGTGTGTTGGCGGTTTACATGTTCAAAATAAGAACGATCACGTCTTGTATCATTGTTTCTTGGTCGACCACGAACCCGGTGGTTTACAGCAGGCTCTCTGAGATCGGAATGATCCGGATGCAGCTCCTCTTCAATGATGCGAGACACGTTTCGAAGAACAGCAAGATCACTATCAAACACCTCCTCCATCAGAGAACGAAAATGTGCGGCATCCTCGGTCGAGTCATTGCCAGGCACCGTCCCACCATCTCCAGAACCAATAACCAAGGTCCTCCAAAACGGGTGAATTTGCCTTATGTACAATCCTGTCCCAGCTCTCAACTCTGCAATTGCTGGTGTTGCCATAATGTAGAACTTGGTTTGTCCAAAATGTCACGAACTTCGTTTTATGACAAAGCCATGTGTTCTCTACATATTGTATCACTGCTGGAAAACTTGCCCACTTATCTTTCATGTTTTCTACAGCGGCCTCATAATCTTCCTCGGTTGCAGCGTCCATGATACGTTTCCATTTTCCGTTTTTGAAAGACGCACCGATTTTCTTGCTTTTGAACATAACAGTGACCCGAGCCTCCACATCTTTGTTAATGTGCCATCAACAAAGTAAGTGCGAGGTTCCTGGAAACACTTCCCTCAATGCAGCACATAGCCCAAGCTCACAGTCTATCAAGAAAACCGACGGCTCCTTATTATACCCAATCACGTCTCTCAACCTCTGCAAAACCCATCGATAGCTTGCCGTGCTCTCGTTATTATTGTCATTAGTATTATTATTGTTATTGTTATTATTATTATTATTATTATTATTGTTATTATTATTATTATTATTATTGTTATTATTATTATTATTATTATTGTTATTATTAATAATAATAATAATAATAATAATAACAATAACAATAATAATACTAATGACAATAATAACGAGAGCACGGCAAGCTATCGATGGGTTTTGCAGAGGTTGAGAGACGTGATTGGGTATAATAAGGAGCCGTCGGTTTTCTTGATAGACTGTGAGCTTGGGCTATGTGCTGCATTGAGGGAAGTGTTTCCAGGAACCTCGCACTTACTTTGTTGATGGCACATTAACAAAGATGTGGAGGCTCGGGTCACTGTTATGTTCAAAAGCAAGAAAATCGGTGCGTCTTTCAAAAACGGAAAATGGAAACGTATCATGGACGCTGCAACCGAGGAAGATTATGAGGCCGCTGTAGAAAACATGAAAGATAAGTGGGCAAGTTTTCCAGCAGTGATACAATATGTAGAGAACACATGGCTTTGTCATAAAACGAAGTTCGTGACATTTTGGACAAACCAAGTTCTACATTATGGCAACACCAGCAATTGCAGAGTTGAGAGCTGGGACAGGATTGTACATAAGGCAAATTCACCCGTTTTGGAGGACCTTGGTTATTGGTTCTGGAGATGGTGGGACGGTGCCTGGCAATGACTCGACCGAGGATGCCGCACATTTTCGTTCTCTGATGGAGGAGGTGTTTGATAGTGATCTTGCTGTTCTTCGAAACGTGTCTCGCATCATTGAAGAGGAGCTGCATCCGGATCATTCCGATCTCAGAGAGCCTGCTGTAAACCACCGGGTTCGTGGTCGACCAAGAAACAATGATACAAGACGTGATCGTTCTTATTTTGAACATGTAAACCGCCAACACACTGAACACGGCGCACGACAAACAGGTACGATTGAGTGTTGTGTTTTTCACATAAATCAGCGTTCACTAAACTATTAACTAAAACCTACATTTGTGCAAGAGATGTAAACGACATGAGCCAAAGCCGTTATCGACACATGCTTCCAGGGCCGATGTTGCCTTACATCACAGGATGGAAGGATGTCATTGGCGATGGGAACTGTGGGTTTCGTTGTGTGGCCGAGTTCTTCTTCGGTGATCAAGGCCGATGGTATGACGCTCGAGAGACAATAGCGAATGAGGTCCTCGGTTATCGAGCCCTATATGAGAGGATTTATGGGCTTGGAAGACTTGAGATCAATGTGCAGCGTATTCGATGGGACGGTGGGGCGGTTGATTCCCGTCATTGGATGGTTGCAATACAAGATTTATTTCCTATTGCGACTTGGTTCAACGCAGCGGTTATTATTCTTGGTGTAGGCTAAACACCAACTTGCTACTACCCATGCCTACGATATTGCCGTTGCGGGCAAGAAGGGGGGTCACAGCACCGGAGCGAGAGTTTGTCATCGCTACAGTTGGGGCCTCACATTTTATTTGTATTGAACTTGCACCTGATTCGCCACTTCCCCCGGTTGCAGGTTGGTGGACCGAGCACCACGACCCAAGTGTTGACGGTTGGGATCAGCGTTACGAAGCTAGAAGGAACATGTGGGATGCCTTAATTTGATAGTGAACATGTTGTTATACTTTCATTTATGTTAAACAGTTGTCGTTATGTAATTTGCAACGAATTGAACTTAATTAAACAAAATATTTACAAAACCACCAAAACAGTTGTTCAATACTTAAAGTACGTGACGAATAAATAGTACATAAACGAAATGCGTACAAGGGAAATAAAAAAAAAACAGGAAGTTCACAACCCCATCATCGCCCTCCAATCAGCTCGTAGCGCCTCAGCCATTGCTCTTGTATCACGCGATAGGCTCGGATACTCCTCCAGGGTCCTGTTGATGACCTCCATAGACCGACCCATCCACTTAAATTAAAAAAAAACAACATATTAAATAAATCACAAGTTTTTTTTAAAAAAAACAACATATTAAAAACAACATATTAAAAAAATCGGATTTTAAAAACAACATATTATAAACAACATATTAAAATAGCAACTTATTAAATTATACCAAAAAATACAACTACTTACGTAATCCGTGTTAGTTCTCTCTGGCAGTGTGCGACTCTCATGTGATGACGCAACTGGAGAAACACGTGGATGAGAAAATCGGTACAGCCACTGCATGTAACCAGGACCGACTGTAGGAGCACCACCACCAAGTCTGCTGAGGGCACCAACCACGACACTAAAAGACATACCAGGGACAAACCAAGTCCACATCACAGATGTCATCTCTGGCGGAACGTCAACCCGATACATCTTCAAGTTCGTCGGTCTCTTAGCCTTCTCAGGCCTGATAATGGCTGGTGGAATGCCCTGGACGTATCCAAGTTGCCGAACCACTCGATCAGGCATGTATGGCTCAATGATGCTACGATACTGGATGCAGCCAATGAAAAGAGTAGCAGGCACGCGTCATGCTGGATCAACTCCGTACGGTAGCCAGTTAACTTCATTGTCAGTCAAATGATCCAACCTAGCCCGAAAAGCGAGAAGGCGCTCCATGCTCTTGTTAGGGCACCCCGATCCAACATCCCAGGCGGACGCATGAGGAATAGCAAGCTCTCTGGTCAAGGTCCCCTGCTGAGGCTGGAAACACGGAAAGTACTCGTAGATCCATGCCTGCAGAAGCGTAAGGCAGCCAGCGATAGAATCAGCATCTCTTCGTGATGTTGTACCCAATTGTCGGTACATGTATGCTAGCACAGCAGAACCCCAGGAGTACTCACTAATCTGAACATCCTCAACAAACAGCTCGTTGAAGAAGGAAGGATGAGTACGGTTTCCACTCTTGTCCAAAAACAAACAACCGCCGAGTACTAACCACAGGTACGCCCTGTAATGGAAACTGAAGGGCCTCTACGCCTCCAAGGTCGACTCCACTATCCTCTCAGTCAGGACCCCACTACCTTGCCATACGGTTTTGGTACCACACTTCTCATTCAGCTCTTCCTCAGTCATATCCAAGGTAACCGAGCACGCGTCCCGTAAAACGTCCGTGCTAGGAGTAGTGGAAACCATGGAACCGTCGACACGAAGCCCTAGAATATGATACACATCATGTAGCATGATCGTGATCTCCCCAAAAGGCATGTGAAACGTGTTCGTGTCTGGCTGCCATCTCTCAACAAAAGCAGAAATTAAGGGCCAGTCAAATCAACGGAACATGATCCCGGGTAAATGAGATAGACCAGTGCCATCAATCGGTTCCAGGTGCTCCGGCGGAAGATGAGCGCGCCAGTTACCCAATTCAGAACACAACTGTGTCCTGCTCAAACACCGCAGCACGTTTCGCTCCTGCCCACCCCATATGTAGGCAGACACGTGACCCCCAAAACTCGGAATAACGGTACCATCCTCAGGCCCACCTGGCATCGGCTCCTGCACCACTCATGACTCTGACGAGCTGGTAGAAGCTTGACCTGGTTCACTACTGCTAACATATCTCCCATGGTCACCCCTATACACAGTACGGTAATCCTGAGGGTCGTACTGTGCATCTCCAGCAGATTGACTTCCTCGATCTTCATCCTCATCCTCATCTGATGAAGGCACTCCAGTAGACGAATACATGGGGGCGCTCCCCTGTGACTGGTGCTCCCCCGACCAAGCACCAGCAGTCCCATACTGCTGCTCATGCTGAAACGGTGCATGTGAAGGTCCTGCACCACCTAACTCCCTCCTAACAGACGCATTCAAACGTCTTGATCTTGCATGACGAGGACCAGAACCCTCAATCTGCATTAAAAAAATAAGTACAAAATCATATTTCAATAATAATTCATAGTCAAAAAAATCAAATCAAAACTATAATAAATCAAATCAAATAAACAATAATAACAGCATTACAAATAATAACAATAATATTATTCTTACAATACTAATACACTACTAACAATAACAACACACTAACACACTACAAATAATTTCAACACAATAACAGACCAAATCAAAACTATAATTAACCACAAAACTGCCAAAATTTAAACGCAACAACGACAACCCAATAAAAAAAACAATTACAATAACAATAACAACAATTTAAGTAAACAACCATAATACATAACAACAACAGCAGCAAAAACCAATACAAACCAAACCAAATTTACACAACAATAACAATACATAGCAACAACAAACTTACTTTAATGCTAAACTATAATTATTGTAAAACTATAATTATTATAAAACTAAATCAACAAAAATTACATATCAATAACTATTGCAAAACTAAATCAAGAAAAAAATTATTTTAATACCACAAATGAAGGACACAAATTACTTCAAAAAAAAATAAAAATAAATGAAGGACACAAATATTTTCAAATTAAAACATGCACCAAATCAACAAAATCGAGGACAAAAAAAAATAAGAAAAACATAAATTAAAAAACAAAGGAAAAACAGAAAAAAAAAAAAAAAAAAAAAAAAGGTGGAAAAACAGAAAAACACAAAAACCAAAAAAAAAAAAGGGGAAAAATAGAAAGAAAAAAAAAAGGGGGAATAACAGAAAAATAAAAAATAAAAAAAAAAAACCTGGAAACTGGACTTCCGCCCAGAAAATCCGGAAGTCCAGGGGAACTTCCGGGAATTTCAGGCGGAAACCCCACTTCCGCCTGAAATTTCCGGAAGCTCCCCTGGACTTCCGGAATTTCTGGGTGGAAGTCCCCTTGTCCAGAATTTTTTTTTTTTTTTCAAAATTCAAAAATTTAAAACAAAAAAAACCTCACTGGCTCGCCGCCGCTAACGCCGCCACCACGACCACCAAACGTCAGCCTAATACTCCGTCGGTCTGCCATTGTCGGATTCAACGTTTGATTGCAAGATTTGCTTGTATTTGAGTAGCCTTCAACTATTTTGGTTTTTTAAAAAAAAAAATTTCTGATTTTTTTTTTTTCAAAATTTCTGATTTTTTGGAAGGTTTTAGAGAGAGAAAGTGTCAAAGAGTGATTTTGTGAGATGGGAAATGTCTCGTAAAGCCCTAACTTACTTTATCGAGTATTTATATACGGAGGGCAATTTAGGAAATTCATGTAAAAAATGTGAACGTCACCTAGTAAAATGCAAACGACGTTTAACAACACCTTTTTTTTTTTTTTTTTGTCTTTTAATTTCATTAAGGGATGATAGTCTTTTAATTTCTTTTTTAATCTTTTAAAACTCATTTTTTATCTCTTATCATGAAAATTTTGGTATAGAAATGGAGAGATAATGTGGTTTTTTATCCTATCCTGTCCCTTATTACAATCCAAATATACTCCATATACAAATGTCTTTAATTTAATTGTCCATGTTATTCTAGGAGTTTTTAACGTGTATTGCACTATTACTAAATTAATTTATTTGTTAATTTTTTTTTCAAATAATAAGGTTAATCTTCTTTCCATGTAAACATGAAAATTAAATCAATTATTTTAGAGTAATTGATATAGTTTGATTGCGTATACTGTTAATTCAAAAAAATTCAATTAATTAATTGATATATATGGATAGGGGTGATAATGAGACTGAGCTATTCGTGAACTATTCGAGCTCAGTTCGGTCAAAGCTCAATTCGATGAGGCTTGACTCGAATTTGAGTTCGACTCGAAACCTTAACGAGCAGAGCCGAGCAAGTCAAAGCTCGGCTCGAAAGCCGGTGAACAGGCTCAATTACAATATACGTAGTGTAATTTAGAAAAATAAACTATTGTTTTTATTTAAATTTAAGTATGAAGATTTAAAATCTGGTTAAGAACCAAAAACAAAACTATCAACCAAATCTAATTACATGTGTGTGTTTATTTCGACCCAAAAATAAAAGCCCAGCTTTGCACGCATACCTTTAGGCCTTTCATAAATAAACTTGAAAGAAAACCCAAACTCTTTTCTTAGATTCTCTCTCCTGTGCTCCCCTACGGCCTACTCCTAACATTAGAAGCTCTTTACTCTCTCCTCTGTTAAACTACTTGCATCAAAAACATCTCCATCTCAATGTAACATGGCTTCCATCAACACACCACCGGTCCACCGCATGCTCGTCATCACCACTAGCCCAGTCCTACACCTCGTCATCGGCCTTAAACCAAGCTGAATTCGAGCTCAAACCAAAAAAAAATCAAGATCTCGAGCCGAGCTTCGAACCGAGCCGAACCTGCGTATAGAGTCACGAGTTCGAGCCGAGCTTGTATTTCTAAAGCTCGTCGAGCTTGGAGCTCGAGCCGAGCTTGCTTTGAGATAAACGAGCTCGAGCCGAGCATACTACTATTCGGGCTCGGCTAGAAGGTTTAGCACCCCTAATGGGATCAACAACATCAAATTCAATCCCTAAAAGCAACAAATCAGAGTTGCTAGTATCCAATTCAACATATATACATCAAATCATATGATCTGTAGGCATCTACTTTTGGTAAAATGTTCCGTAACCAAATTGTAATGATAAGATAAAAATTTACAGTACATTTCAGCCTAGATTAAAGTTGAAGTGTACGAATTTCGAAATGTAATGAAAGATGATCTGAATCCCCTTTTTGAGTCCAAACCTTTTTTAAATCTAGATCCTCTTATTAATTAGTCCTATAATATGCTAACACATGTTTAAAGCCTAGTTAATAACATACCAAAATTCATCAAAAGAGGTGCCTAGGTCAAATGGGTATTTCATAATAGCTCAATATGGGAAGGTATGGGTTTTAATAGCTCAATATGGGTTGGGTATAGCTCTTAACAAACATTCAGGTGGAAAACTCTTGGAGCCTAAGCCTATATTTTATGCAACAAATAAGATGACAAAGTCATAAATTTTAACATATGTACCACTAAATAGGTAAGTAGTATCATTAAATGGTGTAATGGTACAAATATTTTTCTAATAATACAAATAAATATGTAAATAGTGCATCAAATATTACACCATTGTGAGATAATAGTACTACAAAGAAAACCTATAATCTAGTGGTATTATATATAAGCATAGTGCTACACAAAAAAAATACCATTTTAGTTCTAAAAATACCTTTACAAATGTATTATGCCCTCACATAGGGCCTATACGCCCACAGATCAGATGCACTTCGTTCAGGTATCAAATTATAGAAAAAACTAATCACAAATAAATAATATTTCCGGATTCAAGTTCCAACCTGATACAATCATGGTTCATTTTGCATTTCAGATTCACATCACTCTACATAAAAACAGAACACCCCCTAATAAGCATGGTTAGACATATAACTAGTGTCACACTAAGTCATTTAAGTAAATCAAGTTAATCAAATACTTATAAACATTATTGTCAAAAAAATACTTATAAACATTGAAGTCATAGCCATAAAATCTTCTGTTAATACCAGATTGTGAAAACCATATCATTGTTGTTGTCAATCGAATTATATTGTTAGATATATTGTGTTCTAACAATTTCAACAAGGTAAATTCACCATTCTATTTCTTGTAGTGGACACTCTTATCCAATCTTGGGTATTGGTCTATCAGATACCCTATTTTGACAACTTAAAATACACCTAAAACAACTTGCAGCATTTGGTAAATGACCATACTCATCATAATATACAAACAACTTAACATTAGATCGTTGGATTGCGCCTAATTATACATTAACTCAAACTAATTTGCAATAAACCTTTCTCTGTCCCTCACTCCTCTTATCTCAATGGCTTCTAATATTCAGAAGATTATCACCTGCTACTCTACAATTGTGAGAAGAACTCATGAACATTGTAGTAACGGTCAAGGACTACATTATACAAAGGGTGTATTGGTTCTAAGAGATTTGAATATGGACCAAGCACTTCTTGCGCCGTAGGCAAAGAGTCAGCATCCTTCAAACTGATATACTGGCACACTGAAAGACCACTTAAACAATAACATGTGTGGTAGAAGTCTCTGCTCTTTCCAGGCTTGTCTCTAAATCCTCCATCCATAATCTGCACCAATAAATCACATTCACTTATTTGAGGGGAAAAAAATCACTTCAACAATTATGCCACCTCTGTGAAAGAGTTCAGGATAATCGAAGGTGTTAAAGATAGTTACCAGGAATTTATTTCTAAAATATCTTAATACATAACAAATGTGAAAAGCAAGCATATTATCACTTTTTCCTTTCCTCTATTTTCCATCTCCTGAGGAGGGGTGGGAAAAGAAGATAGCTTTACCAAATCACTAGATCAATTGATATTTTTCAGATGGATGTAATTTCAACAAAACTATTTCATATTATCAAAACACATGTCCTCTATCTACCACCATGACACATTGACACAACCTTGATTAGCATAAAAGCATCAGCTGCAAAATTCTCCACTGATTTAATACACAGATCTATGACTGACTATATGCAGCTACCTCAAACAAGCGAGAGGCAGCCCAAAATTCCAATTGGGTGACCTCAACTTAGAACTTTTGTTCATATAGACGACATGCACTTAACATTTCCATGTCAATTAGATGCGTCTTAAATTCTCATTAGATAGCTTATGCCAGTATGGCGATGTATCAAGGGGTTTGAGGAAAAGATTTCATGTTCCATGCCTATTTCACACAGTGATTTTCTTTTTTTGTTATACTAAATATTTTAAGTTAATAAGTTTTGACTTTTAATACTATTCATAAACTTTACATAACTAGCTTTTGTGATATATAGATGGACTTGTATAATAGATGGAGCGTTTTATGCAGTACAAATATGACAACCCAATAATCCTGCCTTGAGCAATGTCTGCAATCTCACCTCTACAAGCACAAGAGAAAGAATATTTATGGAAGGCCCAAAGTGAAAAAAAAAAAAAAAGGTTATAATGTTAGAATATATGGAAGTTACCCTACTTCTATGAGTTGTCTATCAGAAAATTATACTCCTCATGTTACTATAAATGCTGAAAAATATATATCCCTATACCAGGCAACCATGCTACTAGTAGGCTCTACTGTCTAGTACCTATGGCAACAACTCAAAAATAATATAATTAATTAAACCATACCAAGAAATCCCCCAATTTAAAAACTACCTGAGAACAAAGAATTATATATTGCTGCAGAGCGAAGTTGTGAAAGAGGGGTCCAATATTGGCTGAACGTTTGACAAATTTAAAACCGATATCAGACAGGTTAGCAACATCAGGAACATCTTGTAGGCCTGCAGATATACAACCACCAGTTTAATCTTACGTGCTTATAATAAGAATAACGAGCATTAAGTTAACAGCAAGCATAAGGAAAGCCTATCTGACTACGAAAAAATTCCTAAACTAATTCCAATTCCAGAATTAGACATATATATGAGCTTTAAACATATGCCCATGTGAGGAATGTCTCAAATTCGGACTTGAGAGCGAAAGTAGTGAACCCAAGAGCTTCTAAAAATTGAGCAACCTGACCATGAATCATGGAGTTTTTAAGTGGGCTTCTTGATCTTGGATAAGGAGATGACATGTGTCACTCCTGTTCTCGCTTTTATTATACATCGATTGGAAAGAAAGGGTTGGGTTAGTGTAAAAAAAAAGGTAAATAAAGTGTGTAAAAAGAGAGGGGGGGGGGGTAAGGAAAAAAAATGTAGATAAAGAAAGAGAGTAGAAGGGTGATAAGCAGCAACAAGGCAAACAACAACTAACAATCAAGCATACAACATAATTAAATATTGGAAAATGATAAACATAGCCCTCTATGTATAAGAAGCTCAAAAAGGAAATATTATTAATTACACAGATCTACGCGTGATTTTGTCATGAATTCCCAACTTAATTCCATTTTGGAAAGTATATTTAATGTTAAAGCATAACCTTAAGGGCTACATATATCATTCCCTTAAATATTATAGTGTAAAGAGGGGTAAGACAGTAATAGGGGTTTTCCAAAATGGAATATAGTGAAAGCATTGTTTCAAGAACTTTCAGAAATGATAGTACAAAAGACTGAATATGTGACATAAAAAGACAAAACCAGGAATATCCTCACCTTTTTGTCCAATGTGGCTACTATCCATTTGACATATCTCCTCAGGTAAGTTAAGAAATCTTTTGGAAGAACCCTTTTCATGCTGTCTACAACGCATCATATCCAACTGCTCCTCGATAATTTGCAGCAACCTTTGAATTAGTGGAAAGATACCTCCCTTGAACCAGATAATACATGTCAGTTCCTTGTATGAAATAATAAAAATAAAAAATATAAGGAAATTTTGACATTTGCTACCACTAAAATGACCCTCTTTCACATTTGCTACCTGTTTAATTTTTTATTTTATTTTACTACCACCCAAATCCCAAAATTATAGATATCATTACCTGTTGCCTTATGCCATTACTATTTTCGTTAGTGGAGCCCAACCACCGTCCAGCCACCCTAACTGCCACCGTACAGCCACTCCTCCCTCCTCAACCACCGTCACTGCTAGCCCCTCTCCCCGTTCCAGGACCCAAACGATCCCCCAGCGCCGTTGATCCCACCCCCCTCCCTGATCCCCACCCACACTGCGTCACCAGTGACATCAATCGCCACTGGCAACATAAATCGCCACTGCTAGCCCCTCTTCGCCGCCCTTATCTCTCCTCTTAACCGTCCCCATTGGCTATGGTGGTCGACTTTGGCCACCGAATCCAGATCTAAAACAAACAAAACCAAATTCAACCTTCCCCCACCCAAAAACCGGCACCCCTACCCTAAACCCATTCGTTAAAACCCCCCTAAACAGGTTTTAGGGTTTCGTTTTCACTCGCACGGGGCAGCGTGGGCGGGGGAAATGCAGGAGGTGGGGTCGCCGGCGTCAGGGGAATGTTTGGGCATCAGCACGGGCAACGAAAGCCGGTATAGGGAGGGAGGAGGGTGGCTTACGGGGTTAGGGGAGGTGGCTGGGAAATATTTTCTTTTTTTTTAATAAATTAAATTATTATTTAATGAAATAATGGGCCCCACTTAACGGAACCCTAACGGATCCTGTTAAGTGGTAGCCATAACTATAATTTTGGGATCTGGGTGGTAGTAAAATAAAATAAAAAATTAAACAGGTAGCAAATGTGAAAGAGGGTCACTTTAGTGGTAGCAAATGTCAAAATTTCCAAAATAAGCGACACATGTATAACATCACCTGCCAAAAGGAATAACAACCATCCACCAATTTGTTTGTCCTCCCCTGAAATCCACCCTCAACTCCTTGACGAATACAACCCAATTCTGGTTAGAGATTCATAAAATCAGCAATAAATACATGAGTTACATACTAAAGATCACAACATTTGCTGAAAAAAAAAAGTACAGTTTATTTTATTTTCAGCACATGCTTAGTTCCTCTATAAGATTTGATCAATTATCTTTATTTCTCTTATTTTATTTCAATAATAAAAATAAAAAATCACTGCAACATATCCCAAATTCCCAACCAGTTTCAGAAAAATATTAAGCATAGAATAAAGTGTGGTAGTTAGAAAGAGACAAAAAAAAAAAAGGCGAACCCAGTTAATTTTTATGATTTGACAAATTTCGTCAATCTAGTGGCAATATTGTAAATAAGTGCACTTTTTTTAACTGTTCATGCGCAAAACCGCTACTTGAATTAGCAGTTATGCCAATGGTTTATCATTATTTGTTAGGTAGACATTCTTTTAATTTTGTTTCCTCTCTTAAATTTATTCCTAATTCCCTAAATACAAGTTAACCTTTATGACTGTCAATCTAGTGGCAATATTATAAATAAGTATACTTTTTTTTACTGTTCATGGACAAAACCCCTACTTGTATTAGCGGTTTTAGGGCATAATCGCTACTTCAAGTAGTAAGAATTGTACATATTAAATGGTAAAAGGATACTTTTGTTTTTACGATGTTTAATAAAAATAGGATTTCAAAGGGAAAAAGCAGTATCTTCTTCCCTTTGTTCACCAACGGGAGGAAGATAAAAAATATGAATTATCTTTTAACAGGATATGAATTATTCTTACAACTAGAGCAGGCAAGTCCAATCGATGAACCTCGTTGATAAGAACCATTGTTGCCAATCCACAAAAGGTATACCTATTGCAAGCCAAAATACATTTTGTCATATCAAGCACAAGGAACAAGGGGGGAAACAACAGAAGTTAAAATCAACCACAACATATAGTCATTAACAGTACTGTACCCTCCATGGGCTTCTGAACCAGGCTCACCAGCAATGCCACCTTCATATGTCTGACAACTGGAGAAACATTCACACCATATCAAGAAAATTAATGTAGTCCGCCACAATTTGTTTTTTCATGTATATACCAATCTTTAATAATTTAAAGAGGAAACGAGAATGAACTCAGAAATAACTGGAAAATAAACAAACAAAAGTCAGATGCAACAAACCTCAGAATGTAATCCCCAACATTTTGCACCAATTCGTGATCCAAGATGTTCAAAATACTTGCAACCTTGGAAGGAACAGAATTTATTTGACATAGACAAAATCACGATAATAATCCAGGCATGGTGAATAAACTACTTTATAGCAAGGTAGATAGCATCAACAAAAACAATTACAAAGCCTTGATTTCAATAATGAGGTATATATACCTCTTAGCTTTCTTTGCCTGCAGTCATTGGATGATTAACTGAAACATTAACCATCTATTTACATGCTACTTGATCATTTATAATCATGGGACTAAGGCTTTGATGATGATTAACTAAAATATTAACCATCCATTTACATGCTACTTGATCATTTATAATTATGGGACTAAGGCTTTGATTGATTGATTGATTGATTGATCACTCTTTTCTTTATACAATCCAATCGACCTCTTACAAGCTAATATTTTACTGCCCCGTCCAAAAGTGTTTCCAAATTTTATAAACGAAAGAATAAAACCTAAATTATAGTAATTGCGATGTCTATTCTTAAACTTTGAACAATTGATGAAGGTAACATAGGCTACAACGATAGGAAAGAATTGACAATGTTATCTTATAAGAAAAAGCTAATATGTTACTCCCCATTTCAAAGTGTTTCCCAATTTTATAAATGAAAGAATTAAACCTAAATATTGGCAATTATGTCTATTCCTAAAGTTTGAATAATTGATGCAGGTAACATGAGCTGCAACGATAAGAGACAATTGAAACTGTTATCTAATAAGAAATTCCATAGTTATCCCATAAACTATTCTTAAATAAGATACAGACATCTTAAAACAAATTAATGATCCCTCCTTTTCAAAATAGAGAAAAATAATCATCGAATGTGATTTAAATATTAGAATCTTATGATTTTACATTTCATGTATGTCATACGATTCGATTTACATTCTACCCGATTTTACATATTTCTCTTAACTAGCGAAATCCTTAAAAGTTTAAAGTTATTTATAAATATATAATGTCAAGTATTAGTTGCTTACTGGGTAAACAACTATTTTTATTAATAATTAGGTTTCAAACTCATAATTTAAATATCTGTAATTAAATTTGGAAACGACGTATTGTTTATGCATGTGCGTAGAATCTTACGATTTTACAATCCGATTCTGAAAGCCACTTCCGATTACTTTGGTTAATACCAAAAAAAAAAATAAAAAAAAAAAAAATAAAAAATAATAATAATAATAATTATTATTATTATTATTATTATTATTAGCCAGAAAATAGCGAATGTGAGAAGCATAAATTAACCTTCTAATGCATTTTGAGATAGCCTGTGATCCCAAATGAAAAATAGAATCCCCTATACTCAGTAGTGGACAATATTATTCCCACATTCCACCAACAATCATTTAAGTTAACATCTCGTTTTTGGTTCTCTATAGTAAGATAAACATACTTGGATATTAAATCATACAATGAATAAACAACATAGATCAAAGTGCAAAATAAGAAAAATCTTACAGAAATTGCAGTGTAGCATGCTCTAACATCAATTTCCCCTTTTTCATGCATTCTGAAAAGGCAAAAGACAACTAAGCATGCTACGTAAATTTCGGTTACAAGAGAAAATTTTAAATAACAATTCCAACATTCCTACAAGAATGTCACATTGTTACCATCCTTGTGCCTCTTAGACTACACATTTTTGGCTTTCTCATGTTATCCTTATTTACAAAGATGCCCAACTTACCCAAACAAAATTCATTTAAATAGTGTATCCCATAATTTGTTTGAAATGTATGGATATATGTGGGTTTTGAGGTAGCACAATCATAATAAAAAATAATAATAATAATAATAAATATATATATATATATATATATATATATATATATATATATATATATATATATATATATATATATATATATATCTGAGCTTGAATCAAATTGACCGTAAAGCCCTTGATTCAAGAGTTAGGCTCACTAATCGATGCAGATGGTAGATACTAATGGAGTCAAGAAAGAACCAGCAAAATAAAGGATGTTCCAAAAAAAAAAGGATCATGAAGTTCTTTACGAGGTAATCAAGTGGATAAACTCATTTTTCATTTCAAAACAGATTTTTACAAGGTAAGCATTCTCTTATAGTTCTATAGTCCAATATCTAGAGTAACAACAACATAGAACCTAAAACCCGAGACCTATGTTACATGGAAGTGGATAGGAGGATCTGATAGTGTCCTATACGTCAATCCCTTTGGAGCACGGTGTCACGACCCACGCATTCCACCCCTCACTAGGGCCATTGGACGGGAGGCAACAATCGTGGCCGGGGGAATGCCCTTGGTGCGCACTGGCTAGGCCAGAGACACCCTCCCCCTATAGAGCTTTATATTGCTACTGTGCTGTCACCCTAGTGAACACCCAAGTGACAGTAACACAATAATGGGCTATTTGGGGACCCAAATGAAGTCCGATTGAGCCCAAATTTGGGGGTCCACCATATTTAGGCCCAATGAACACCATGGTGGTGTTAGATTTTGAAGGAGAAGTCCGGAAGGTTCCAGAATACTCAAGGAGACTCGAGATGCATCCGGAAGCTTCTAGAACCTCCTAGGACATCCTTGAATCATCTGTAAATCTAGAGTTGAGTAGATAATTCTAGAGCCTTGTATAAAGAGGGAATGTACTAAAGAAATGTATAGAATACTCTAGAAAGGATTAGATCTAGAACCCTCCATTTGAGGAGGTTAGGGAAGGTTCTAGGCCATGCTTAGAACACTATAAATAGGGGACTTGGCCTTCATTTGGAGGCACCTCAGAAAATACTTGTAAACACTCTCTCTCAAGCTATCAAAGCATTCAAAATATTTATATCCTCTTGTGTTCTCAACATTCCTTAACTTTCGTTGCACACTCTTGCTTGAAGCCTTTCGGGGATTAAGCCTTGACTAGCATCCGAGGAAGGGAAGTTAGTAGGCTAGCGTGCATAAGACTAGGGGGATTAGTCAGCACGTGACAACGGGGTCTCTATCTGAGATTTGGACACAGATAGGGGGACACAACAAAAATCTTTACTTTTAAGAATTTTTTTCCAAAGGAAATTTATAAATAAATATGCAACAATATTTCATTTAGTTTTATCAAACAAAAATTTTAAATTCAATATGTTATAGTGCGTGAAAACTAAAGTATCTTAAATTTCCTATAAAAAAATAAAATAAAATAAAATGAAGAACTAGCGTCTAAATTAGAAGCTCAAAAATGAATTTAATTCCTACTAGATACCAAACTCAACATGTGATTATACAACGGTTATCCCACACTCCCAACCAACTTTCATCTTCACCTACGAACACACAGTGACAACTACTCTTATCTTGCAATTTGGTCTTTCCCTTTCTCCCTCTCTCTCTTTATCGTGCAATTAGTTTCTATATCTCTCTCTGCTGTGTACGACTGGACAATGTCAGGTTTGACCCCAGTTTTCGTACCTGAACCAGGTTGTGTCATGTTGACACAGATACGAAGGAGTCAAGAGTCGAGTCCATGTAACATAGCCAAAAACAACTTTTAATCTAGGTCCTAGACAACAAAAAAAGCCTTAAATCCAATAATATATCTCATATTAGGTAGGATTTGGAAACAAATAATTTAAATAAGTGTCAAATGCTCCTACAAATTTTAGCTTACCATTATATTTCAACTCAACGACCACCTAAAAAATCCAGCCATTAAAATACTATGACACTAATGGAAGCATATAATCATTACACTTTGTTTAGAAGCATGTAATTTTGGAGAAGAGGAGAGAGTGGGAAGGATCCATTTTCCCTCCCCCTTTTTAACATGATGCGTATTTTACATACAGTTTTATTCCCTGATCCACATTCATTTTTATGCATATTTCAGCTCTTCATTTTTGTTACTGATGTGTGGTTTCTAGTGTTTTGTAGAGTTGGCATTTATTTTGTAGGATTTTCCGGATTTTCAGTGATTTCCGAGGTTTTCTTGCCACTACGAGATATCGGAGCTAAGATCACGTCGATGACCATTCTTTGTAGCCCAAGACCGAAGATTTCGGTGATTAAGAGCTCGGTTCGTGAAAATGGTCAAAGTTATGGACCAAGGAAGAAAAGTTGATTGTAGCCAAGCAAGGAAATCGGCCAAGAAAAAGATCAGGCCCGATCGGACGAATGCCCAACGAGCAAAAGGAACAAAAAAGGCGGGCCCTATCACACGTGTGTTTTTCCTAAGGCAATTAAGCTTAGTTGTTTCTTTCTTCTTGGGGATGAGTATTTTAACCCTTGTTTCAGCTTTATTAGGGATGTTTTTAGATTGAGATTTCATTATTAAGATTTTTAGAGAGCTTTTGGTTTTGGATTATTGTTGAACACAAGATTTCATTAATTGCAATTTCATTATTTTCCTTCATTGGGTGTTGTTTCTATTCTCTTTTATTGCTTTAGTTAATTACTTTATTTTATTGCTTTGTTTAGTTTAGATATAATTATGTGTGAGTAGTTTAATTCTAGGGTTCTTGGGGATCAATAATTAATATAGAGAGATGAATTGTTTTGGTTGATTATTAATGTTGCACATTGATTTCTTGTTGAATTGTTTTAATTCTTTACAATTGGATTATGAATCCAACAGATGTTAATTCGATAAAAAAGGCTATTTTCAATAGAAACTTAGATCTAGAACCTGTTAAATCTATGTTGATTAATAAATTGCAAGAGCGTGTTAATCATATTAATTGCAATATCAATTGTTGATTGTTATGTTTTATTCCCAAAATATTAATTATTGGTGAACCTATGACCCTAGGCTTTTTATCATTGATTTCCTCTTTAGTTTAAATTCATACAAACCCGACTCGTTCCCTGATAATTTAGATTATAATTAATCAAAAATAGAAGAACATTGTTTCCTTATAGATTCGACCCTACTTTCATATCTATTTTAGTTAGTGATTTTAGGAATTACTTTTGATTAGGTATATAACTTTGGCCTATCATAACACCATCCCTCCAAAATTGGATAGAAGTTGGAGGGAAAACGTTGCTCCACCTTCCCCACCCCTTCCTCCTCTTTCCTCCCTCTTGATAGCTCTATGTCTCCAAAATTAGAAATTTAGAGGTAAAATGGAGCTCCACCTTCCTCCTCCTCTTCTTTCCCTTACACTTTGCTATTCAAACAAAGTGTAACTCTTTCTCAAATGCAAAAGGAATTAAGCTACATATGAAAGATGTACCAGTAAAGGAAGGGTGGGACAAAAAATATATGAAAAAGAATCATGAAACGGGAGGGTGGGGGACAAAATATGAAAAGGGAGGGTGGGAAACAGAATATGAATAGGGAACCAATAAAGGGGTGGGTGGGACACAATTTATAGCAACAAAAAGAGAAGCTTTTAAGAAAGAAGATAATAGTTACTATACCTGAACGACCCACTTGGGTCCTTCATTCGCTGCAAGAACGCATACAATCTATCTCTGCATAATAAAACATATAGTCTTAATATCCTTGATAAATGATGTTGATATTATGTGCATGAGTGTCTGCACAGGTTAATGCACTTCTCCACAATTGGATACCATGTCTTCAGGTCACAGGGTTCCAAGATACCCTTAATTTATGGAGTATAAATGGGTTTCCAAGAAAGAGGTGAAAGGAAAAAGTCTTTCCCCATCACATATGTATGAGGGAAAAAAATTAAGCACTTACTCTAACAAGCCAATTATTTCATAAGTTAGATGCCTTTGAACGTGTGTGGTGTTCGTTCATGTGTATGCATGAAATGATAACAATGGAAACAAAAGCTCTTCTAATTTAGTAAAATGGCCACCTGTTAATAGATGATAATGCACTGTGCCCTCCCAGTGTGATAAGTGAATTCACAGAAGCATATGTAGTCGCCAGATGAGGCATCTGAAAATTGAAATTGTTAAGACAGTCATATATAAATATATACATATATGAATAAATAAATAAATAGATAAAGAGAAGAGTACTGAAAAATAGGTAGCAAGTGACAAGCTATTTTTCTGAATAACAAAAAAAAAAAAAAAAAAAAAGTGTTTAAAATAAATATTACTCACTTTCTCCTCCTAAGTAAAAATATCCACATAGGTAGTCCTCCTCTCAAGTTATTGATAGAAACCTCACAGTCATTCGGAAACTCATCCTAAATATTTTGATTCTCTGTTGGGCAGCTGTTAAAGAGCAGATCTCGACTCAGGATAATCTTGAGAAAAAGAGTTTATCATTGCAAGACATTGGAGTTGTGCATTAAGGAGAAAAACTACATTAATCATTTACTCTCTATTCCATGTTTCCTTCTATTTGGTGCATATAGTGTTATAGCCTTGATTGGGAAGAGCTTTGATGGGCTTAAGGACGAAAAAGACTGGCTTGCTTAAGCGAGGATAATGATTTTGTTTGCAATGTGGTGGCACACTAGGAATTAAAAATAAAAAAAGGATACATGTTCAACTGTTCAAGAATTAGACACATTAGGGTTTATATTTTCTGAAGCAGGCTGTGCTAAGTTTAAATGGGTGCAAGGACAAGACATTCATAAACAGTATTCCGGGCCTCGTAAGATCTCCAAAGCACTTATAAGCATATATTTCGCATTAAATTATCATTTGTTTCCTCTTTGATTTCGTTTCCATACGTATTTCAAGATAGTGTGTCTTAGGTTAACAATCAAAGCATTCCATAATTCAGAGAGTCTTTGACAAGGCTACTTGGGGAAAGATGGAGTCAGAATAACAAAGTTGAATGTTACTTGACTTTTCTTGATTTCAAAGATAAATTAGTTCATAACGGCTCACAGGCACAAGAATTTTTTGCACATGGATGACACCTAAGAATTATCTCCTGCACTCACGACCTCAGAACAAACAAGTTAGTTTTTTCGTATGAACTGATAGTTCAAAAGTATGGTTCTGTGAATTTAATTCATAGATTACACATTCAGTTCATATATTACGAGCATATAATTTGTATAGTTCAATATATAAGAGCAATTCATAAAATATAAGCAAATAGTTTAAAATTATGAACAATTAAAAGAAATTGAACATTTAGCTCAAAATTAGTATATATGTTCCTAAGCTTTGAGCTATATGCTCATTATTTTACTATTTGTTCAGTAATTATAACTATTGGTTGGGTTGAATAAGAACACACATAAAAATGATCAAGATAGATTGATAAGTTATATGCAAATTGAAAAAGATACTTGCCTGCCCTGGTCCACCACCATATCCACCATGTGGGTCCTGCATCCAAATTCAACAAAAATGAAAATATTGTAATCAGCCAATATTGACAAATAAAGAAGCAAAAGACTTGCTATCTTAACTCATTAGCTGGGTTTCACATGAAAACCAAGACTGGTGACGCAAATTTTCAACTCACCAAAGCAAACATTAGGAGTTAAAAAAAAAAAAAATAACACGGAAGACAAACATTTAGAGGCACTAGGCCGTTATCTAAATTGTGATCTTTTAGCCTCAAAAAACCCTCTACTCATATCAAAATAGAATTTCTATTTGCATTGTCTTCAATGGTTGCCATTTTCCACTTCCCACTTTCCTTTCATAAATTTTAATCCACCACACTTCTTGTTACTAAAAGTTCTTTACAATGTTGTCTTCAATAACAAACATGAGAGGGTAAGGAGAAGCAAATATAACTGAGAGCTTCTAACATTAATTGCAATATGTTTCCCAGTATGAGAGTTAAGCAGTGTCAAAGTGTCATCTAACCACCTTGTTCCTAGTTTTACACCAAAAGCAAGAGGAGAACTACCTAAATTAAAATCAGCATAAATAAAACTGACATTTCCTCACTTTCATCATTCTAAATTGAACATAGGGATACTTTCTAGTTTTAAAAAAAATAAAAATAAAAAATAAAAAACACAGTACCATGGTCTCGAGCATCAGACACGTAGTTTAAGGAATTTTCGGATTTGGTCTAAGTACTCATGAATTTTATCATGTAACTGGATAGATCTTAAAAGCCATGGTTAGAGGGTTCATACAAGTTGCAGTAGTATGTTGATCTATTTTCCTAAACAGAGATGACATCAGCTCATCAAAAACAATTCAAGTCTAAGGAACTCCTTATAAGCCTAGTATTTGTTCCTTATTCCAACACTAAAACAAATCATATCTAATCCGAATTCAACAAGATAAGAACTCACTTTCAACAAAACTTTAAACTAACTCCGAGTACGATTCTAGTGACACAAGGATATGAAATTCAACTATAAGTCTTCAAAGTCCCATCCAACTTGATCATCACCCATGCCCCACCTTCACTGCTATGTTTGACCATGTACATTAACTCTGACCATGTTACACTAGCAAATTACTACAATAGTAAGATCCTAAAATAGAAAGTTCCTAAGTATAGAAATATTATATTGAATATTAACCAGAAATACCTGAAGTGCTGACAACCCACATTAAAATGTTACTTAAAGAGCATGAAATGCATGTAATGATCCTACTAAAGAAATTTTGAAGATAGCGTTGAGGTGACTATCCGCAACAGCATTACCATCTAAGATCTCCAACCCTAGTAAGTAAAAAAAAAAAAACAAAAACCAACAAACAAACAACCAACCAACCTATATAGCAATCGAACGAATTTCGTAGAAGGGATTCCTAGATAAACTGATGCCAAACACTATAGGCATATATTTCAGTTCTATAAGATGACCTATGTTCTATCATTAGCTCCATGACTCCTCCACATGGAGGCAAAACTATAAATATCTCCAGCCCTCTCCCCTAACACATGGTCCTAAATTGGAGCCTAAGTGAGAGAAACCAGGTTCATCATTTTGCTTTAACTAGAGTAATTGACAGTTTAGATTTTTCACCAGTTATATGCCTAGGCAATGCCAAAGTTAAAATGTAATGGTAAGCTCATGAATGGATTAAATGAAATATCATAACAAATCTTCAATTTAAAAAAGAACAATATCCACTAAGCAAAGCTGGATAGCATGGTACATCAGTACCAGGTTAGGGACAAGCAATATTTGTATTCTGCCAAATTCGTGTCAATCCTCCATAAAAGGGGCCATGCTCATCAAGGTGCCGAGGGCTCCTTTAATAACTTCTGAACTTTTTATCAACTGATTAAAACATAAACAGAAAAATCCAGGGTCAGCCCAATAAAGCCCATCATGCTCTTGACAGGCTCATGCCAATTTTTTAAAATGAAGTCCATGCTAGGCCCACGGGTGTGCCTCTCGTGCTGTGAGCCATTGGAGTGTTCTTGTTGGGACATGCCAACTTTGTACCACTGAATACTCCCTCCGTCCCTTTTTTATTGCCCCACAGAGCAAAGTTCAGTTTTATAAGAAGCAAAGTAAAATTGTGCACATGGATTGCAAGTGTGATTGATGAGGAGACAGATAAGAGAGAGCAAGTGGAGTTACAAGTGGTAAAATTTACCAAACAAGGTTCCCCGTAGAGCAAAGTTCACTTTTCTAAGAAGCAAAGTAAAAGTATGTACATGGGTTACGAGTGGGATTGATGAGGAGAGAGGCAGATAGAGCAAGTGAAGTTACAAGTGGTAAAATTTATCGAATAAAGTAATGGAACAATCACAAAAGGATATTCCAAAAAGAAATATATGATAAACAAAGAAGGGAAAGTGGGAGTATGTTCTATGCTCTAATTGGTTCTAAGCACAAAGGACCCGAACCATAATAATGAGGCAATTTCCAAATCTAGGAGAATGATACCATCAAAAAACAAAGCCGCAACCTACACTTGGACACCAACGCATGTGGTATAATCAATCCTTTCCTGAACTTAATGATATGTATTCCAAACTTCGTTCAAAACTAAGTCACCATATCCTCTTAAGAAAATAAATAACAGCAAATCATCTATGAAAGTATGAAACATGTGTCTTGGTTACATCACCTCAGTCCATATTATAAGCTACACATATCTCCAATATGAGGGCCATGAGAAAATTATTGGCCTAGCTTGGCTCAAATGTTGCACATCGAATTTTAAAGCAACGAGTTTGTAATAATCTAATATATATAAATAAAGTAGGCATTTTTGGAGAGCATTCGGAGCGTCACGTAAGAAATATACTTATTTCGACCAATAAGGAGAAAGATTTGTATTTTATTTTTGAATTAAAAAATTATGTCGCCGCCTAAATAAAAGTAACGAATTAGATTTGATATATCTAAAATTTTAATGCCACGTAGATTATAATCCACGAATTAAATTATTTTAATGAAAAAAAATAAATTATAAATATAGGAAAAGATGAATTTATTAATTCAATACTACGAGTATAAGAAATCCAAAAAAAATAAACTAAAAAATATTTAAATGGTAAACGCTTATAATAAAGTTTGATACCTATCATTATAAGATAAATTTTGATAGTATTTATGATAAGAAATACAAATTATTCGTTAACTATAATTAAATTAAAATTTGTGATACCTACCACTATAAATTGACACACACAAACAAAATTTCGTATCGATAAAAAACCCCATCAAGCGAATTTTGTGTTAGTAATTTTGTATTAATTATTAGTCATCAATGGCCGGGTAATTTTTAGCTTAATTTTAAAAATCCTATATTTAAATTAGTATTTCTAATTATTACTTACATTGTATTAATTTGGGATACTCAACGAATATATGTTTATGTTTTCATTACTAAATTTTTTTTACATGCAAATCTAGCACATCATACGACACAAATAAAATTTCGTATCAATAAAAAACCCCATCAAGCAAATTTTGTGTGAGTAATTTTGTGTTAGTTTTAGGTCATCAATGTCTAGGTAATTTTTAAAATCTTATGTTTAAATTAATATTTGTAATTATTAGTTACATTGTATTTATTTAGGATACTTAACGATTATTTGTTTATGTAATGGCATACGGTTAGATGTTACTTAATATATGGATGACTTTAGTTGTTCTTGGAGATGATAAAAAAATTCCAATGCATAGATTTGATTTTATATCGCAACAATTTATCATTTATTGGTAAATATATTGATTTATTTTATATAAATGTAAAGATTTAATTTATATCAATTCCAGTTTGGCTAACATTTCACGATTCAATTTATCCATTGATGTAGTAGGTTGGTTGTGGACGAGGTTGGTGATTCTATCGAAATAAAAGATATGGTAAAATAGTGAATACTGATTTAGAATTTAAATTATTAAAAATTTATCATTTCACATTAAAGATTTTATATAACGGAAAAAATATCATATTTACAATTTATTTATATTTAATAAATTCATTATAAATTATAGTAAAAAAAATAAATATTAAATACAATAAATCAAATAGTTAAAAATCTTAGATAAAAAACCGTGCATCGCACGTGTTTCGGGGTTTTCTGATGTCCTGCGGGAGAGTTACAATTCCGAGACTGGAACCGGACGCCTGTACCTGCAAAATAACGGAGACTCCTGAGAGCTCCGCCTCCAACGGTCAAGTTAGTACCCGATTAAGGAGTAATCAATACAGAAATTAAAGTAATGAGATCTCTCTAGGTGAGAGTGCTTAGTGTTGGTAATCTGTGTTGTTAGCGAGATTAGTCGGTTGTTAATAACTCTGTTCTTCTCTGCTTGATCTCTTAATTATTCGGTCTTCCTTGATTAATGAGGATTAATCGAGTATTTATAGCCTTGGGAAGCGTGCAACTCTCTAGGTTTAAGGTAAACCTAGGGCTGATCGGGCCTCTAGACTGAAATGGGCCTTGATGGCCGGTTGTCCCATTTGGCATGGGTGGACACGTGGCGTGTCTTAAGTGGTCCATGGAGGACGTATCTGTGATTGACACGTGGCAGGCTCCTGTTGGCCTTCGTGAAGGACACGTGGCGGAACCTGGTTGGTCCACTTGTCAGACGGTGATTGGTGGATAAAAATCCCCTAATCATTTGCCCCTCACAGGTGGCACGCGACTGGTCACGTGTCGCCTGTGACAGGTGTCGCACGGTGACAGGCGACGGCCCGTTACAGGTGTCACCTTGCAGACGGCCGAGAGATTTTCCCGCCCAAATTTTGAATTTGGAAGCGACCCTTCGCCTTCTCAGTTTGCCTATAAAAGGAAGTGCTGACTTCGGTCATTTTCACATTTGAGAACTTTTGCGAGAACATTCGGACCCCTGAACTTGCTCTGACTTTTTCGGACTTTTTCTGCCTACCGCCTGTTCTGACAAGCCGACTGACCCGAACTTCCAGGACTTCATCAACCGTCA